AAAGATTTACTCAAAAACTGCATGATTTAGTCAATCCCTTGAATTATAAAATGGCAGCTAAAAAGCTAGCAGTTTCACTGTAGCCATCTGTTCAGCAAGGTATGTATAGCATATAGAAAAAACCTTTCACTTGTTACATCCCAGCTTTCAGAACTTTGATGTGAAAAGGACTATTGAAAATTATCTACATTTACAGTTCAGTCACACATTTTATTTAACGTCAGTATACAGAGGACAACCCCAGCAAATTTTGTAATGTCAAGTATTTAGTAAGGTTCTTCAGCTGTAACAGTGACAACAGAATAGCTAAAAAATAAGCAGTATGAAACAAACTTGAATTTTTAAAATTATAAATATACCAACAATACTTATTAAAGCTTAATTATTGCAACAGTTAATTTAACAATATTTCATGTTAGAAAGGCTCTATGAAATTTATTCAAGTTGTCAAGAAATTAGATGGAAGTGTAAAAAGGAAATACATATGAATTTTCTTTTGATTTGCACTAAAGATATAGTCAATACAATTTTGTACAGTATCACCTAACATATCAATCTTTAACAAACTCAAGTATACAGAATTGGTAAAAATGGAGGGGAAAAAAAATCTTGTTTTTAACTTTTACACCTAAGTTGTGCCACAGTAAATTAACTGACATGAAATTCATTATTGTAACATAAGCAGGCCAACAATTTTTTTCAGTATCAATTTAGTTGATTTAAGCTGCTAAAGGGGCAGATGTATACACAGTCTCTTCAAGTACATAACCAAGTTTGAAAAAGGTGATAGTTCAAAACATGGGATTTCTGCAAGTATTTAGTAAAAGGCATGTTATTTCCTAACATGAAACAGAAACCCTCACCCATAAGACCTTTTATACAGGGTTATGATCTCTCCTGGCTTCACTGAAGTCACTTTGCCACACCTCCATTGTGCACACCTTGCTATACATTATCAAACCAGTGTATTAGTTTAAATTCACTCTGCTAATGAAGGTGTACTATATGTGCAATTTCATTTGCTACTATATGCACATTACAGGAAGCTTCAAATTGCACCTTGGTAACCTGAAATCATATAGCCGTGATTCAGTTTTACTGTAGAATTTACGCAGATACCGTTATCACATTGAAATAATTCTAATTTGATAGTACTTCAAAATACCAGTAATTGAACTTCAGTTGTATTGAAAAAAATGCTCTTTTCCACTGAAGAAGAATTAATGTGTAGCCAGTCTTCCCACTCGCCAAAGTATAATATATGAATGTTTGTTAAGTACTTTTAGCAAAAACCATTAGTCATACTAAACCATGATACCGTACTACAACTGTAGTTAGTTGGAAGATTTAAGGATGTTATAATTTAAGATTTTCATGTACAATAAGAATCAAAAACATTCTAAATTTCATGTGCATTGTTTCACAAAATGGTAACGTATTTAGTCTGCCAGATATATACTGCCATTTCACTCTCCTTTGTAGTTTTGTCCAATCTTACCTTGAGCTCTCTCAAAAAAGAGAAATAAGTGGTAAGTTTCCCTTAAATTAAAACAAAGTGGTTGTACAAGATAAGCAGGTTAAATTTTAGTATCATTCAAACATTTAGATAATACAGTTTATTTTGTATTGAAATAACTTTAGTAATTGTAATTTAGTAATAAAATTAGTAATTGTAATTAGCTACATTCATGCCTAGTAAAATAGTTTAAAGTAAAAGAATTATTAAATTCCTTTGCATGTAAATACGAAGCATTTTTACTGCATCTGTAGTATACGCAATTTGGCTTGAAGTAACTGGCAATGTGATTCATATGCAATTTCACTTTTCTAATTCTCTCCTATTTAAATTGTTTTCAGACATGTTAAGGGATAAGATGAAAATTTCCATGACCCCGGCTAGGTTTTCCTAGGGAGCAATCCCCATGGCCAATCTGATGACAGTTACTCAACTAAGGAGAAAAAAAACCACACTCAAAAGTCAAACCCTCAAGAAGAGGGGACTAAAATTGTAGTTCCTAAAATGAGAGAAAGTGAAATTCGCAAATGAATGGATCAGACTGAAAGGAAAAATTGTTCATTCATTTTTCAGACAGGTAAAGCATGCTTCCCCATCACCCCAGCCCAATTTGTTTTACTGATTTTGTAAATCCCTTGCACTGCTTTTGTCCAAGAGTTAGTATGTTCATTTTAAAAGTGTGTTTGGATCACATACTTTACAAGAATAAAGTAGCCAATAAGAAAGCTCAAGGTATGATGGGTAAACTGAAGTAATTCATAAAGTTTGTGCGTAGGCTGTATGGGGCTGGGATGGCAGTGCATCATACTGGCCTAATGGAATCAAGGTTGAAGATCCATTTCTGGATTTTCAGCCAAGGCCAGTAGAGACAAAAACACTGTGGGCAAGAGATTCAATAGGTCTAAAATGAGGAAGACCACCCTACGCCTGGTCGTCTGTGCTTTCATGGCTCTTCCAAAAAGGAGGCAAATGAGAGGGAAAGGTAGAGCTGGCTCACTGGCACAGATGCTTTCTACTGCAAGGTTAGTTTAATTTTCTGTTCAGTCTTTCTTTGGGTTGGTTATGGTTGGCACTCAACTGAGGCTGTTGGTGAGGCAATGGTGGAAGAATTTTTTTTAGCACGAAAAAATGGTAGGGAGGGCAGTCTTCCAGGACTGTCAGGAACCCAGATAATGGGAGGAAGACAGAAGATAGCAGCTTTAAACTCCAAAGTGACAGACTTAGCCAAGGATAAAACTACTGGCAGTATAGAAATGTGTGGTATATAACCCAGAAGTGACACGTTACCATCAGTGTTTTTATACTTTGACCATTCTCGTTAAATATGCATAAAGTTATTATAAGTGCTCTATCCTATAAACCAAAAGATGCTTATCTTTCTGGCACAGATACTTCCCCATCAAACTCCTGTAAACATGCCACTAAAACTTAGTTTAAACAGCAGAGTGAACTCACTGTAAATGCAAATGAAGAAATCAGAGAAACAAGTCCATTTGAAAAATATCTTTCTAGGGAAGTAAATATATCCTAAATAATATGGCATTTACATCAGTGTGCAATATATTAATTTTGAAAGATCGTGATAACTTCAGCATGAAAATGACTTACCTGTAATTAAAGTTTTCCATATTAGCCAAATACATAAATCCTGATTTTGGGTACTGCATACTCTATATCTGAAATATTTGAGATGTTGTATTCTAAATCAAAACCATCAATGCACAAAAACGGATTAAGTTACACTCAGCAGTTTAAGGAAACCTAATTTATAAGTTCATAGAAAGGAAATGTAAAGGGGTAGTGTTTGGTAATACACACGCAATCTGGGTTAACAGTTATGCAAAATGGCAATATTCTACTCCAGAAAGCTGAGACACTGATGCACATGTTTAAAGTTACCTTCATAAGAATGTTTGTGGCTTGCACTGATTCACAGAAGTTAAAGTAGTTCCAGTGTAATGTAGTTTCACTATTTTGAGTTAATGATTCTCATGTACTAAATATCTTTAAAGGTAAAGTAATGCCCTTTCCCCCACCTTTAAGAGAAAGATACACTATGTTCAGACTTAGTAGACCTAGCCACTAAGTGTGCACAGATGCTGAGTGGAAGGGGTTCTCAATGTGTGCATATAATAGGACAGATTTGAGAACCAGACTGGAGGAGCTTTTTCAATATGTGCTTGGGGTTTCAAAGCAGCTAGAATCACCACTTTTTTTTTTTTTTGAAGGAATAATTCTGATCATTCATTCTGAGACTTCCTTGCAACAGAAATCTGAAGTTAGTTGTGGTGTATTTTAGTTTTCTGGAACACAGTGGTTGCTCCAACTACAAACATGACTCTAGAGAATCAAGTAGTTTAGGATTAAGGAACTACATATATCTATATTGTCCAATTAGGAAAATATTCAAATAATTTAAGACCAATACTCCAGGAATGCAATAGCCTAATGAGTGCTGCATTTTTACACAAGCCCCTGCTGGTTCTCAGAACTGTATTTCATCAGAGAATGTTAAACAAAGCTATCTTGGCATAGAAGGTGCTTGAGGTTATAAACTGGCAATTAGTTTTAGAAAACACAAGAAAACAAATTTGCCATGCAATGGACAAGATAAATATTGTATTCAAGATTAAGAGGCTTTTACAAGGGAGGGTAAAAACCCTAGAAATGTGTTACCTTAAATTGATAGAAGTGATTGCCTGAAAGAAACCCACTAAAAATTCTTTTTTGCCTGCATATTTGACTAGTAAAAATGACACTATTGGACCAAACATGAAGCTGTTTAAGCAGAATTTTTTTTAAACTGTGGCCATGATTCTTCTCATGATAATGAGCCCTATAAAAATTAAGATCTTTATACAGGTTCATAAAATCTCATTAGTAATGTATTATGCATTTAGGACTGATTCACAATTTCAGGCAAGATACTGCAAATTATTCCCAATATGGTCAGCAGAGAGTTTTAAAAAGTTTGCTCACAAGTTGACTGACATTTATTAATATTCCAGAAATCCATAAAAAGGTAGTGTTAAACACTTAAGTTTTCAGATGGGATACCTAAATTCTAAAAAAGCTAGCATTTCATGGTAGACTCAAAGCAGTAGTATTTCAAAACACAGGAAAACGGCAGCACAGGAAAATGTGTGAATGACTAATATTGTTACTTTAGTGATTGAATACTTTTAATCTAGTTTTTAAATCTTTGTCTTCACCATGTGTTTATACTAAAAAAAGTTTGAAAATATAGGAACACAAACTTTGGATATACAGTATTTCTCTGGTTGGAAGGCAACTAAGAAATGTACCCCAAGACACTTCAAATCATTCAGAAATATGGCATGCAGTATCCAAAAGTATGGCTCTGAGGAAATAACCTTTTTACATTAAGCATAAAGAAATTTTATATCCAATAATCAGGTATATTGAGAAAACTACCTATTCAAAGTTCTAGTTCTTTGATGCAGCATTAAGGATTAAAACTTACCACTTTACCAGGCCTTGCCCATGTGCAAATAAATCCCTCCTGACAAGCAGTGACTATACAGTCTTCAAGAAAAATTAACACAGTCAGTCTTTCATGTGCTATCTTTTTACAAATAAGAGGCTCTAACAAGGGAACATCTTCCATTCTGGGACAGAGAGGTGTTCCCAAAGTTTTAGCTGGGTCCGTTTTGGTTTTAGTAACTAGGTTCAGTTTGTCACTGCTCTTGCTAGATATATGTCCCATGCTATGATTTCTCTTGTGATCTTTTTCATGGTGTCTTTCTTTCCGATCATGTAGCGATAAGGTTGCAAACTTACTAACACCAGCAGCAATGGCACCATCCATGACACTGCTTTTACTGCCAGCATTTGAGACTGCAGAATGTGGAAGGCTGTTTGACCGTGGAAGAGGAGGGGGTACTGAGTTTCCAGGTGTTGTGATACTGTTTCCATTACTTCCTGGATTAGTTCCACCACTTCCTGCAGGTGGACTTGTGGCATTCATAACATTTGTGTGTGTCCTTGCTCTTGATAGAGGTTGGTGAGGGAAGAGAATATCTTCTGTAAGGTCCCACAAACAGAGTTGTGTGTCTTGGCCTACAGAACCAAACCTATATGTAACACTTACTGGACGACTGTCTGTAGAGTTCCTTTTTGATAACCTAGATTGTGTACTATTTGCTCGATCTCTACCAAAATGAAGAAGGTCTTGGAAATCCTCATCACTACCACTAAATTCCATTGGGTCACTCTCTTCTACACTAGTGGTATATGGGTCAAATGCCACAACACTAACCCATGATTTATGTCCGTGGCCTCTAGCTATTACTCGACAGTCCACAAAAGACCAAACCGTTACCAAGTCATCCTCTCCACCTATTACAATGTATTTCCCATCTGGGCTCCAACACACACATAGTAGGCCCCCAAAGTAGCTTTTCATTGTACCATGTAACTCCACTGAATCAAAGTTAAACACACGAAGAAAGCCATCTTGGCTCACACACGCCAAAAATTTCCCATCGGGGGAAAAAGCAAATTCATTCAGGGCACCCTCGCCTACGGTCCATTTAAGTAGAGGATTTCTTGTGGATTTACTCTTGCAAGTGTGGACTGCAAAACTTTCTCCTTGCTTAAGTAGCTGGTAGTGTGGGGCTGTGGTACCACAAGTGTGCTCCACGTTATATAAGTACATATTTCCACTGGAATGAGCTACTAGGAAAAGGCTTTCCGAACCTGGTACCCATTTTACACAGGTTACTCTGGACTTGTCTATTAGTCTCTGTGAAAAACAAAGAACAAGATATGCATCAGAAGAGTGACAGTTTTACAGTTTACATCTATTAAAATAAAATTTGACTGAATTTTGAATACTGTCAAACTCCTGACAGTTATAAAATGGTGTTATTTGCAGAAGAAGCTCCAGTCAGCTTAAGATAGGCAGTTAGGAAGAGGAGGAATTACTGTTTAGGGGAAAAGGTGCTTTTATTCTTTCTGGTCCAATTTTTATTCAATAATAAATCTCTCTCAGTAACTAGGCCAATTTGTTATAGATCACAATTTAACATTCTTAGATTTACCTCTACAAGCTCAGCAAAAACAAGAGGTTTACTTAAGGAGCCAAAGAACACGGTCTCAAAAAATAGTATGCAATCTGTGTGAATAGAAGTTACTCACCTACACTCTATATTAAGCTTATATTTAGTTAGAAATCAAAACAAAGTTAAGACCAGAGTTCAGATTAAATCCCAAAAGCCACACATGGGACTTGCCCTCAAAAAAAAAAAAAAAAAAAAAAAGAAACACAAGGGAATAAAAAAAAAAAAAAAAAAAAGGCAGCTTTAGGAGCCCAGTGGAAGATTCTAGAGTTACTAAAGTCTGCAGTGAACGTGTGCCAAGATATATACTATAGGTATATGCTATGATTACTTCCTCTGACTTACAATAACCAAATTCCCAGAGGTGGAAGGAAAATTGATGGCTTGTAGTTAAGTACTGGTCAGAGAATTTAAATCAGAGCATCCCTTTTCCAAGTTACCCTTCACATATCAGAGAAACATAGAAGTCCATTAGATCATTAGGGAGGTGGTGGAATCTCCTTCCTTAGAGGTTTTTAAGGTCAGGCTTGACAAAGCCCTGGCTGGGATGATTTAGTTGGGAAATTGGTCCTGCTTTGCGCAGCGGGTTGGACTAGATGACCTCCTGAGGTCCCTTCCAACCCTGCTATTCTATGATCACCATCTGTACAACAAGCAGTCTCATTTAAAGTATTAAGTACTTCCACAAATCGAGAGACAATGAGTGACCATGTGTATTAAATATGCATATGTACGATATTTTGAGTGTCTTAGTGCTGAAAAAATTGAAAGCTGCTTAGCAAATTTCACCTGGCTGCTTGAGCCTGCTAGTCCAGCCATGGTGCCCAATAGATATTTGTAAACTCTGAGCTGATCCATCACGCTGCCCACCTGACCACCCACACCTCCAATGTGATCTAGGGCAGAAACAAGCAACAGCAGTAAATAAGTGAAAGTATTATGGGCCACAGTTTGTAGGCTGAAAGAACAGTTGAGATATACAAAAAGTCAAGATTGCAATAAGTAAAAAAGGAGTTCCCAGGGAAACATACAGGGACTGACTGGCTGTAGAGTGCACTTAGCTATTTGTCAGAAAAAAATGAATCGAAGGATGAGGCAGTAGACATGTATTTATCTACCACACTGAAAAGCAGCAGTTAAATGAACATTTCAAGCTATGCTTTGAAGCACTTCTATTGCTGTCAACCTGAGGATGAAAGCCAAAATCTGTATGCCAAGTACTTATCATTATGGACTACCAAAAAGATGAGTTTAAATCATTTTGTATTTGAAGATTCAGAACAGTAATTTAATCTAGCAAATTTCTTCTGAAATAACAAGCATCTTCAAATAGCAGTTTTGCTCGTTTTTTGTGGTGAACTAAAGAGTTGGTTTGTGTGCTAATTATTTTAATTGTGGTAATTGTTTTGTTGTTGGCCAATCATGCCTCTATTGTGACCCCAACAAAATATTAGTTAGAGAATTACCTTTACTAAAAGTATGATGCTAGGAAACTGGATCAATCCTGCCTGCCACAGGCCACATCTGTCCTCTAGCCATGGAATAAGTACTGAGATGGCAAAATGGAAGCGCTCTCACACTGCTCTATTAATGTGGCCCAAGAATGGGCAAGAGACCCCATCTACAGGAGGTGAATATTATTCAACATTTATATTACACTAGCACCTGAAGGCCACAACCACATTAATGGTAGGTTTTGTACAGAAACAGATGACAATTCCTGCCCCCAAAAGCTTACAATCTAAGATGACAAGACATAATAGGTGGATGAGAAACAAGCAGATTGAGGTGGAGATGCAGATGACAAAAGATAACAAAAATGGGAGGTGTACAAATCTTAGTGAGTGATCACAACTTGCCACCTGCTTAACCATCAAGGTTGCAGTTTTCTGTATGCATTAGGAAGAGCAGAGTTTTGAGGGAGACTTGGAGAATAAGGTGATGGGTTTATGCATTTTTGACTGGAAGCTTTTCCAATTCACAAGGTACAACATGGGAGAAAGCACTAAAATGCTTGTGGGAGAAACAGAAAATTGTGGCTGGTAACATTGCCAGAGAGACTGTGCTATAAAATAACAGGTTGAACAGGTAGGGTGAGGCTAAATTGTGGAGCGCTTTGAAAGCAAGGAAAAGTCTGCATTTGATACAGTAAATGAAGGAGTCAGTGGAGGGACTTAAGAGGGTAAAAGGCGGGAAGGTAAGACAAGAAGATAATCCTAACAGCCACATTAACAGACTTGAAAGGGGACCCGGTTACAGGCAGAGAAGCTGGAGAAGGAGATTAAAAGAATTTGCTCAGAAGTTTGGTGGTGTGGGTAGAAGGGAGAAGTTGGATCTTGGAGATGTTGCGCAAGGAGAACCTGCAAGATTTCAGACCTGGCTTTAATGTGTGGGTCGAAAGAGGGGAGAATCAAAAATAATGCATAGACCACAGGCTTGATAGTTAATAGTTCAGTTGCCCAACCAGAGGGTGCTGTAATTGGATTACAGACTTGTCCGCTGGAAATAAGACCACCACCAATTCATTTCACATACAATTAAGACTAAATTTTCCATCACTACAAAAATGGACTGGATTTGAACAGCCAACCAGAAGCAAGAGGTTCCATAGTCTACTCCTAGGGGAATTCTGCACCACTGCGCATGCACAGAATTAATGTCTGGTGTGAAATTTTTCCCCCACAGTAGAAAGTACATTCTGCCCAAGAAGTGGTGCAATTTCACCTTTCGCCCACCAGAAGCAGCTGTGGCCCCAGAACAGCTGGCTGACCAGCAGTAACAGCTAGCAGCCAACTGTATTCGTTACAACAGCCTGCCAGTGGAGCCAGGTTAGGAGGCAGAGTGGGGCACACAGGGCTGCTATGGGGTCACAGATTGGGGAGCGGGCTCAGTAGCTAGTGAGGTGACAGCATTGAGCCAGGGGCTGCATGGGAAGGGGGTCTCTGGGCCACATGGGGACAGGGGCAGATGTGCCTGACTGAATGGGAGAGGCTCGGGGTCAGCCAGGGTCTGCATGGGGAAGGCTCCCCAACTCCTTAAAAACCCCTGCCCCCCCCAAAAAAAGAAAGTTCCATATTTCTCCCACCCACACCTAACAACCCTCCAGGTTCACTCCAAAGCTCCTCTCCTCTCCCTCAGCTCCTCCATTACCCCATGACTCCCCCAAGCCTTTGCACTGCTTCTAAGGGGTGTGGAAATACATTTCTGTATCGTAGTTTAAATGAATTACTCAAAGTTCTGCATTAATATGCCCAGTAAGGAATCTGTCAAAAAAACATTTCCTAAATCTTTGTGAGTCTGTCTGTTTTGTTACAGACATACTTGCTGACAGTTATTTTGAAATAAATTACCCAAATAATTGAAACTGGCATGTTTATATTGTGTTATTTGGACAAATAAAATATGCAGAATTTTAAAATATTGCATGCAGAATTTTAATTTTTTTGGCACAGAATTCCCCCAAAAGTAATAGCCTCTTGAGCCTTTCAAGTCCCTACGTCTTGCATATTCCAATGATTTTATATTTTGATCACAAAGTAATAGGACTGATTTTATCTTACTGAACTTGTTTCATTAGGCAACTATGAGAGTAAAGATCTGGGATATCAGCAGGTTACTTTACTAATCAGGTATTTGTCAGAAGGAATCTGCCATCTTGATTGCCTCTTTTTTTAAAAAAGGAGGCAGTAATATTTTGACCACTCACCCAAGTGCTTTCAAATCACTGGTGACAACAACTGTATTTTGAAAGAGATAAGAGCCTGGGCAAGTCTTGAACTGGATGCAAACATTTCTTAACTCTTGGGTGTGTCAAGGTGTCAATTTGTCTGCCCCTTGGTGGCTCCCAGATTTGGCAGCAATAGCTGAGGAACCTATTACAATTAAAACTACCAGGATTAGAGAACAAGTAAAAGTCTACACTTCCATACACTGCTAGTTGCAGCCAACCACACTTCAGCTTGAAAAAATTGTGGTTAATTAATGGTGGCAATTTTAAGATTTAAGGTTAGCACAGGCAGCCACACTTGTCACTATTAGCTGCATTTCCAATCTCTGCTACTGCTAGTATTAAGTGACCTCCTCTGCCATAAGTCTTGTTTTTTTTCCAAATACCATCTCATTTGTTTATTGCCTCAGTGGTATGAGAGGCGATTCATTTCACTTTAATGGAACCAGTTATTGTGAAATGGGGAGAGTGTCCCAAACTGTTTGAATGCATTTATCAACTTTTATTCTATGCTTACCATATATACTGGCAAAAACTAGAACTAATTCACCACCAGTGCACCTTCACCTTTTAGAAAGTCATGTAGGTAGAACGCAGGCTTTGTCATGGAGTTGGCTTACTCATGGTTAGACAACATGGGTTATGTCTGCACGAAGTCTCCATTGATGTTATCGCCATTTCCTCTACACCAATGGGTAAAGCTAAGATTTTATCACGGTTATTTTTAGTAAAAGTCACGAACAGGTCACAGGCAATAAACAAAGCCCTGGGAAGCCACAAGGGGGGCACATGGTCCCTGGGTGAAGCCACCGAGCAGGGGCGCGCGGCCCCAGCTGCAGCCCCTGGAGGAAGCCTCAGGGTTGAAGCACGCGGCCCCCACCAAGCACGCAGGGCCGGCCTTTGGGGTGGGCTGTATGGGCACCTGCCCAGGATGGCCCACCCAAGGGTGCACCATGCGCAGGGTTTGGATTTCCACCTGACCCGCTGCCGAGAGGCAGCACGGCAGGGAAGCGAGCAGCAGAGTGGGGGAGGGAGGAGAGACCCGAGCTGCAGGGTGCAGGGGGCAGTTAGACGACCTGTCGTCGGAGCCAGGTGACTCCTCTGGAGCAGGGGTGCCACTCCTCCACATGTGCAGCTGCTGCTGTTCCTGTCCCCCTCCACTGCCCACTCGTCCCTGGAGTCGCCCCGGACTGGGAGTGTCCTCCTTTCTGCTCTGCCGGGGGGGGGGGGGGGGGGGGGAAGGCAGCGCAGCAGCAGGGTGTCCCCCCTCCCCCCATGTACCCGATTTCCACTAAGCTGGGGTGACGGAGCAGAGGGAATCTGTGTGTGCTGCTGCCTCTCTGGGTCCGGAGCTGCTGGCATCTGCTTGTGTCTGAACAAGCCTAGTTCAGGCTCCTGACCCAGAGTGCTTTCTTAAAGAGACAGCACACTCACTCAGGCACAAACACACTCCCCTCAACACAAACACACAGTCACCCCAACACACACACCAGGGTTCCCTGCATCCAGGTCACTTCCCCACCTGGGCTGTGCTGAGGCATCAGGAGCTGCTGCTCTCTTGCACTCCCCTTAGGCAGCCCACAGGGAAAGTGACCTGGATGCAGGAAGCCCCGACATCACTCCTTTTGTGCCCCCCCCAGCCCCCTATGGCTGTGCGGGGCAGACGAGCAGCCATCCAGTGGGGGAGCGAGCAGCAATGCCAGCTGCTTTGTGCATCCAGGTCAATTTCCCCACGTGGGTGCAGGAGGGGGATGCAAAGGTTAGGGGCAAAGGGGGCACAATACAGAGGTTAGGGGCTCAGGAGGAAGGTGCAGGGGTTGGGGTGAAGGGGGCACAGTGCAGGGGTTGGGGCACAGGAGGGGGCAGAGGTTAGGAGTGAAGGGGTGTAGGGATTAGGGGTGCAGGAGGGGGAGCAGGCATTAGGGGCGAAGGGGGCACCTTGCAGGAGTTAGGGTGGAAGGGAGGGTGAGGAGCCTGGGGAGCCCATGAGGGCCAGGGGCAAGGGGAGGGCTCGCCCACAGGGGCTGGGGCACCAAAACACAAGTTCGCCCAGGGTGCCATTTTCCCTAAGGCTGGCCCTGCAAGCACGGGATGCCCCAGGTTTGCGGCGCATGGTCCCGGCTGCAGCCCCCGGCAACCGTGGGACTGGGCATGCGGCTCCGGCTGCAGTCTCCGCCAAACCCAGGATGCCACAGGGCTGGGGCGCATGGCCCCAGCTGCAGCCCCCAGTGGAAGCTGGGGGGCTTGGGCTGCAGGGTACTGGTTCCAGTCAGCCCTAGTTGCAGGATAGGGGTGCACAGTCCCACTCCACCTCCTGAAGCCCTAGAAGTCACGGAATCCATGACTGCCGTGACCTCTGTGATTAAATCGTAGCCTTATCAATGGGAATTCAAGTGCCGACAAGGTCACAGAAGTTTGCCATTATGTCAAACTAACAAATTTATGTGAAAGTGATAAAATTTCAGAGGCTACTTGTGCCTTTTCTAAACTACAGCTCACACCAATGCAGCTGTACCAGTGGTGAATTATAGGTCCCATTTTTTCTAGTATAGACAAAATCATAGTGAAGCTTCACGCTGCTGTACATTGGTTTCTACCAAAAGGCACCTTTAAGTGGTGCATTCCAAGAAAACGCACACTTTCCCCACTCAGCGAGACAAGGGGAATTGGGGAGAAGATGTGGGAAGTGGAAGAGGGAAGGGTAAGGAGAATTTCCCTCTCCTGATCTAGTTGTAGCTGCTCCTAGAAGTGTGAAGAGGAACTAGATAGGTCTAAAGCACCACCCTACTGGGAATGAGACTGTTTTCAAGACCCTACTCTACAGCTGTCAGTGGGGATGGGGGGAGGGGGCCCTCCCACCAATCCCAAGTTGAGCCAGGCTAGACCTCTTCTTTCAGGCTGTCTAGAATAAGGCTTTTGATTGCTAGAGTTAATTGCAAATTCTAAATTCAAGTCATTTGGCAATTATGCTAGTTGTGCAGCCATTCAATGACCATGTGTTACCATGCACAAATGTTTGTTTCTGTCTGTGGTTCACCCTTGAACAAAATGATTGTGGAGTGTCTATAGTAGCATTTACATTCATGCTAGTTAACTCAAGTAAACAGGCAATCAACTAGTTAGTTACAATACAACCATAACTAGTCTAGACAAAACCTATACGATTTTTTGGTGAAAAAACACCTTATAGTGCAAGAGTTCACATATTTTTAGTGGCAATCTTTGAGCTTACTTACATAATAACTTTTTAAAATAGGACATGTTTCCATGCAAAAAGATCAAGATTCCTACTTACTTCCTCATTAAATAATTTGCTAGTTTCTTTTTTAATAGGGTCTATAAGTTGGACCTGGCCTGCAGAGAAGCCCACTAGTAGAGAGACACTTTCTGCTGTGGCTGTTAAGTGATTGAAGTCATGACACGTAGGTTGCGTTCCTTTGTATATCCTTTTGTCTATTGGTTTACTCAAGTCAGCAGCCTGCAAAAAGAGCAATGAAAACAAAAATTAAGATAGTCTGTTATGTATACACTTTTTATGATAAACTAAATTCTATTAGTGAACAAGTTTGCGGTATGTAGCAAGATGACCAACAAATGTAATGAAGTTATAAAGCAACTTTAAATATTAATCAATTTGGCTTTAGTAAGTTACCATTGCTGTGTGCACAAAAGGTGAGATGCTTTCAGCAATTTAACACACACACACAGGCTTATCTATTACATATGTCTTTCAGTTTTACTAAATACTGAATCATGTCCACCCATTGTGGTTACACTACATCCCACATGAAGATTAATGACACTCAAAGAATAATATCTAGGCTCCAGCCTCTACATAGCCACGTTTCCACCAGGGCTCCTTTGAGAAGGGATGCTCTGATGGACGGGGGGGGAAAGGTCTCCTTTCCCCCCACCAACTTTTCTGGCAAAAGCTTTCCCACATACAGTAACCCCTCACTTAAAGTCATCCTAGTTAACTTTGTTTCCTTGTTACACTGCTGATCAATTACAGAACATGCTTGTTTAAAGTTGCACAATCCTCCCTTATAATGTTGTTGGCAGCCGCCTGCTTTGTCCACTGCTTGCAGAAAGAGCAGCCCATTGGAGCTAGCTGGTGGGGGCTTGGAACCAGGGTGGTGTGGCAGCCTCCCAGTAGGCTACCAATTGCCGGCAGTTCAGCTGTCCCTCCCCCCACTGCCATGTGGGGCTCCTGCCCTCTGCCTTGGAGCTGTTCCCAAGAGCCTCCTGTTTGCTGTGCCGGGGGGGGGGGCGGCGGCGCAGGAGAGGGGAGCTAATGTCAGGGTGTCCTCCTCCCCCCTGCTTACCCCATCTCTATAGAGCAGGGGGGAACATGACAGGGCTCAGGACGGAGGGAGCCGGCAGCGGCTGCTGTCTCAAACTTGCTGATCTACTTAAAAAGGCAATGTACTTAGAGTGCGGTCAGCGTCCTTAAAGGGGCAATGCACATCTCTCTCTCTCTCACACACACACACGGTGTGTGTTTCTGTTTCTGTCTGCCATGCTGTCTCCCCTCCCTCCATTTGTGCTATCCTGTAGAGTGTGAGGCTACATTAACAACAATGTGTTAACCCTTGAGTGCTCAGCCCAGTGCTAGTTCATCATTTAGCACGAAGGCATTCCCTGGGAAATATCCCACCCTCTGACTTCCCCACCTCAACGAAGCTTCACAATCATCATTACTGTGTACACTATTAAATTGTTTGTTTAAAAACATATAGTGTGTGTATACATACACATACACACAGAGTGTCTTGTCTGGTGAAAAAATATATAGTCTTTTGTCTGGTGAAAAAAGTTTCCCTGGAACCTAACCCCCCTTATTTACATTAATTCTTATGGGGAAATTGGATTCGCTTAACATCGTTTCGCTTAAAGTCGCATTTTTTCAGGAACATAACTACGTTAAGCAAGGAGTTACTGTACTTGTTGCTAGGCAGAGTTGTGTGTGGTACAGATTACAGCACAGGAAACATTTTTGGCCAGCAGGTCTCCTAGGCCATTTCTACACTAGTGAACTCTGGAGCCACTTTGAGCTCCTTATCACACTCTTCAATATTTGCTCCTACATAATCATATAGAAACTAGATTGTTAAATTTTCAAACAAGCACTTTCATGCTTTTTCACATTCTGCCCCACGTGCTTGTGAGCAGTTCCCTATAAACTCACTCATTACCCTCCTTCAAATCCTTCCTTTGCTGTGATGCCTAAAAAAAACTTGACAATAGTTGGTTGCTGCAACCCTTGGGGGGGGGGGGGTTTAAAATGGGTATAGTTGTGTTTAAATTCCTCCTCCTCTACTGGGAGAGGATAACTTGTAGCACCCTCCGATTGAAAGTGATACCGATAGATACCTGAACATGCAGTTGTAAAATTGAGAAAGTATGAACGGACAACCAGGTGGCCACCCTTTCAAGAGAGGGTTATGTTGTTGGTTAATGGAGACAGACTGATTTGTAGGTTTCATGGATGCATCATCTCAACCACCTGAAATAGTAAATTTCAATGCTTTTCTTCACATCCTGATGGTAGAGAATATCTAGAGCACTGGACTCGTGAAAAGCCTGTGTGTGATTGATCTAGACATTGAGGGCTCTATAAACATTCAATGCATGTCCAAGCATCTCTGCTGGATGCGATGTTTTGGACAAAGAGGGAAGCACCATTTCTTGGACTGTGAAGAAAAAAAAAAATTAATTTTCGGGATAAAGACCAGGTCTGTTCAGAGAACCACATCATTGTGAAATGTGCAGTACTGTTCCTCAAGAAGGAAGCCCCCTACCTCTGATACCCTCCAGGTAGAAGTAACTGCTACCAAGAAAACCATCTGGAGACAAAATACATGGATACTTTCCCAAGGAGCTCAAAGAAATGCAGAATCAGGGCATTAACAACCAAACTGAGGTCCCATGATGCTGTTTGATAAATCTTAGGAGAATGAAGTAAAGATGCAACGTTGAGGAAATGCTCAAGATCTCAGGTAAAGAGAGTCTTCTGGCCTGTGGAGGAAAGTATGCTATACAGTGCAGCCATTTTTTTCAGTGTTAAAATGTCGACACTGAAATCCCTGATCAGACCTTCCTGTAAGAATTCTAAATGGCAGAGGAGAAAACAGGGTGAATTTATTAAAATCAAAGTAATTTAAATCACCAATTTTAACCATAATTTAAATCAGGAAGCAGGAAATCTTAATTTAAATGATTGATTTTAATCTTTTGCATTTGTATTTATTTATTTTTCTAAAGAAAATTGATTCTCACCGGTTAGTAATCATAAAAGCCATGTTGATTTGCCTTTAAACTATACTTGGAACTTTTTACTAACCAGGATAACACTATCTTTTCACATTTAAGCAATTATATAGTTTTTCAGATTCTTAAATTATGTTAAAGGTTTTACTTTATTTTAGAAAATGGCAAATGATCATTTGATTTACTAGATTAATGTATTCATGATGTGTGTCAAGTTGCATCTGGATGGAAGTTGGAATTTAATCAAAATGCACAAAACAGTTTTCAACAGTTATTTAAATAAAGATGCTGAATACAGCAGAAAAAACCTAAGTTTATAAAAACACGTTTTGTATTTAAAACTGATTTATGAAACAAAGGAAATATCTGTAGTTAGTGAATTGTACTATTTCTAGTCACCATGTCCCTTCAGGGTTTTAGACCTACTAGATCTCATCCTCTCACACCTTTATTTTTATTCAGAGATTGGAAGAGGAAAACAAGATTTTCTGCTTTTTCATCTTCCCAACTTTGAATGAACTAATTATTCAATAAACGAAGAAAATATTTTATGCACCTGTAGAAGAGGCATCTGCTGTCAAAGCTGGTTTAGCACTTCAGTAAACTCTGGTTCCAGGTGCATACTCAGCAACTTCTACCAGTTCAATGGTTTGACTTTAATATTTGGCATCAAGCTACCATAATTACAATTTACAATTTTATTATTGTAAAATTATAGTAAGTTTGGCCTTAAAATTGGATACAAGTTTCAAAATTAAATGTTTTATTTTCAAAAAGAAAAATGTATTTAAATAAAAAAAATGCAGTTTAATAAAATCAGTTTGTTTTTCTCATTAATGTGGGTGCTTGCCATTAGATTCTGAGATTGACAGAGAAAACTGTTGTTGGGAAAGCTCAGAGAATTCCCTAGTAAGGGCAGTACTCAGATTCCCTGGACTTGATACTTCATTTGCCCCGCACTGAATCCCTTGCCTGCATGTCCAGAGAGGGAGGCTTTGACCAAGCCTACACAGAGAGGCTCACCCTGGGAGAAAAGTTGCTCTGCAAGATCTGGGTCCATGACAATAAATCCCAGAATCTGACACTCACTACCACACTCAACTGAGATTGGCGGGAACTGAAAACTTCTCTATTTGGGAAACGACATCGGTCAGCCAGTAGTCATACTTGCCTGAAAGATGATATAGCTATATCAAAAGAGCACCAAGATGATAGTAGGGTGTATATTTCCTTTTGAGCTACAAGGCCTTCTTACATTTTTTTTTTTTAAATTTAAGAAGTTTCCATGGCAGCTCCATTTACAGTCAACGCACATACCTCCAGATTACTCAATGGTTACCAATACCTGTCTTGCCTGGGATTGGCTTTCCACAGCCTCAGGCAAAGCTGGTGTTGTAACAATAAGCTCTTTGCTCACTGTAAATCTCAGGCTGTTCAGGGGGCACACTATCTCCTACCACAGCTAAGGAAATCTCTCTCAAAAGAAGGATCCCAGTCCAGAGGATCTTCTGATCTTGAATGACAGTGGGCAATATGGAGTGATCAGGCATTCATGGCTCTTGCACAAGTTGTGGAGGCAATAGGTGTATGAGAGAAGTGTCTTTTTATTATTATTTTAAATAAATACTTGTCAGTTCCTTAACCAGAAATGAGTTAAATTTGGGGAGTATAAGTCATAACAAATTACTTGTGGAAGAGAGCTGACCCTGCTCCTTGGAAGATGAACATGAGGAGCCTCTCTGCACTTCTTGGGCCCTTTCTTGTTCCTTTCATAAAATTATAGCAATATAGGGCTGACCTTGAGAGGTCACCTAGTCCACCCCCTGCAACAATGCAGAACGAACAAAACCTAGACCATCCCTGAGAGATGTCTGTCCAACCTGTTCTTAAAAGCCTTCAAGGATGTGGATTCCACAATCTCCCTCAGAAGCCTATTCCAGAATTTAATTATCCTTACAGTTTCTCCCCCCCCCCCCCCCCATCTACCTAAGGGCTTGTCTACACTGGCACTTTACAGCGCTGCAACTTTCTCGCTCAGGGTGTGAATAAACACCCCCATGAGCGCTGCAAGTTTCAGCGCTGTAACGTGCCAGTATAGACAGTGCACCAGCGCTGGTAGCTACGCCCCTTGTTGAGGTGGGGTTTTTTTTAAGAGCGCTGGGAGGCCTCTCTCCCAGCGCTGTTGCCATGACTACACAAGCCACGTTA